GGAAATGTCCAGGGGATGTGGGATAAAAATGGGGAGAAGGGGAAAAATTTATAGGGGCGTGTGGGTTAAAAATGGGGGAAAATGGGGGGAAAATGGAAAAAAAGGGGAAAAAATGATAGGGAGTGGGGGTTAAAAAATGGGGGAAACCAGGGGAAAATGGGGAAAAATTTACAGGGGCGTGGGGGGAAAAAAGGGGAAAAGGGAAAAAAGAAAAAAATTAGGGGGATGTATTTAAATATATAAAATACAATATGAATAAATAAATAAAGTTATACACAATATAAATACCAATATAAAATGATAAATATTAATGTGAATTTATATAAAGGGGGGAATTTAGAAAAAAAAATTAAAGAGGGAATGGGGGGAAATACAGGGGAAGAAATCTTAAAATAGATATAATAAAAATAAATTAATCAATTTATATAAATATAAATATAAATATAAAAAAAATAAATATTGTGAATAAAATATTATATATAATGTGCATTTAAATAAGGGGGAATTTATTTTTTAAATTATTTTTAAAAGGGGGAATATAGGGGATGTATTTTAAAATAGATATAATATAATAAAAATAAATAAAATTGTATGCAAATAAAATATAAAATAAAATAAAAATATAAATACTATAAATGCAATATTATATATAATGTATATTTTTTAAAAGAGGAAAATAAAAGGAAAAATGGGGGAAATGTAAATTAAAAATGAAATAAATGGGAAAAAAGGGGGAGAAAAAGGAGAAATAAAAAGGGAAAATAAAAGAGGGGGAAAGGGGAAAATAAAGATGTGGAAAATGAAATTAAAATTTATAAAATGCACCAAAAAAAATCTGGTTAATGGGAAATAAATCAGGATAAGGGGAAAAAATCGGGTTAAAGAAAAAAATTGGCAAAAAGAAAGAAATTTACATCAAAAAAATCAGACAAAAAAATCAGGTTAATGTTAAAAAACCGAGGTGAAAATAAAACAAAATAAAATTAAAATAAAATAATTAAAAATAAAATAAAATAAAATAATTTAAATAAGTAAAATAAAATAAAATAAAATATTAAAAAATAAATAAAATAAGGGAAAGGAGAAGAAAACTCAAGGGGCAAAAAGCCGAAATAAATGAATTAAAAATTAAAAAATAAAAAAGGAAGGAGGAGCAGAAGAGAAAAAATTGCCCAACAAAATAATTTTAAAAATTAAAAATTAAAGGAGGGGAAGGAGAAAGAGAAGAAACTCAGGGGATGAAAAAAGAGGGAAGAATGAAATTAAATTTAAAATAAAAAAACCAAATCAGCCCAAAAAAAATCGCGGCAGGGGAAGGAAAGGGCAGCGAAAGGAACGAGGCGAAAATAAAGAATAAAGAATTGAAATAAAGAATAAAAAAAACAAAATAAAGAATAAAAAAAACAAAATAAAGAATTAAAACCCAAACTAAACAATAAAAAACCAAGATAGAAATTTTAAAAAACCAAAATAAGCAATAAAAACTAAAATAAGGCTTAAAACCCCAAAATATTCCATAAAAACCAGAATTAACGATAAAAACCTCAAAATTAACCATAAAAAGAACCCGAAATAATCCTTAAAAAACCAAATTAACCATGAAAAACCAAAAAAGCCTCAAAAAACCCCAAAAACCCAATAAAAAACAAAATTAGCCATAAAAACCCCCAAATAAACAATAAAAAAATCAAAATAAGTCATAAAAACCCCAAGTAAGTCATAAACACCGAATTAACCCAAAAAACCCCAAAATAATCCAGAAAAATTCAAATTAAACCACAAAAACCCCGAATAATCCATTTAATAATCAAAATAATCCTAAAAATCTGAAATAAGCCTTAAAATCCCAAAATAAACCTGAACCCCCCCCAAAGTAGCATTAAAACCCCCAAAAGTATTCTATAAAAATCAAATTAGCCATAAAAAACCAAAATCAGCAATAAAACCCCCAAAATACTCCATAAAAATGAAAATAAGCCATAAAAACCAAAATAATAAAAACCCCAAAGTAAATAATAAAAAACCCAAAAATAGCAATGAAAGCCCCAAAATATTCCATAAAAATCAAATTAACCAAAAAATCCCAAAATAACCCATAAAGAATCACAAAATAATCCATAAAAAACCCCAAATTAACTTAAAAATCCCCAAAATCAACAATAAATCCCGACCTAATCCATAAAAATTGGAATTTCCCATAAAAAGCCCGGGCTGTGAAATTTGAATTCTTGATGGCCCGGGGAAAAGGAATCAAATTAATGAGGGGTTTAATTGGGATTAATTAGCGCTGGGGGGGAAATAAATTTCAAAGTTAAAAAGGGAGGGAAAAAATAGAAATCAAGGGGAAAAAAGGAGGAAAAATTCAATTTAAAAGTGAAAAAATAAATGAAAAAAAAAGAGAAATCAGAGCAAAAAAAAAGGAGGAAAAATTCAATTTAAAAAATAAAAAATGGAAGGGAAGGAGAGGAGAAGTCAACGTGAAAATAACAGGAAAAAATTGAATTAAAAAGGAAAAAAAGGAAGAAAAAAAGATAAATCAATGCTAAAAAAAAGCCGGAAAATTCAATTTAAAAGTAAAAAAAGGGAGGGAAAAAAGAGAGAAATGAATGCAAAATAAAAAATTTAAATTAAAAAGTGAAAAAAGGACAGAAATCAGCGTGGGGAAAAGAAGAGGAAAAAAAAAAATAAAATAAAATAAAATAACACAAAACAAAACAAAACAAAACAAAACAAAATAAAATAAAATAAAATAAAATAAAATAAAATAAAAATTAAAGAATAATATAAATAAATTAAATAAATAGAAGGAAAGGAGAAAAAGCGTTAAAAAGCGGAAATAAATAAAGTTAAAAATAATAAAATAAAAATGAATAAAAGAGGAGGAGAAGAAAACTCAAAGTGCAAAAAAAAGCGGAAAAAAGAAATTAAAATAAAGAAATATAAAATAAA